GAAAAAGCAAAATCATTCCAGACACTGGTAGATGAAATCTTGTAGATTTAGATGAGAAAACCACGTCTAATGGGCAACCAACTGAAATAAAGGATTGGCTTCATCTTCAGAAAAGTTTTTATGGCTTGTTGCACGTGGCAGCAATGGACATAACGCTTTGCAAAATTAGACAATATCCATTATTCCGTCTGGTATTACAGGCACCAAAGCAATCATAAAGTTTTATCGGACAACGGAAGAGGCAACGAACGGCCGAAATCAATTTCGTCGCTGTAATATCCCATCGACTGACCGGGAAGTTATAGCTTGCGGATTGTGTCAACCAGATAGAACAAATTAGAATTTAAATATTCATCAGGACCGATCTTGTACTTTCTGATCGAAGAAACGCCCACATTGGGCAATTCGATTAATCAAATTTGGATTTTTATGGTAACCGAACACTCCAATTTCAGACGTGTCTAAGTCGGCAGCATCCGGGAGCTGAAGAGTCGCTCTTTACCAGATTGAAAGTGTTAAATATTTCATAGGATCGATTCGCCAGACAAGCAGTTCTGATCAATCTACAAACTGAATGACCTACTAGCTGATATAGTACATTTCTTTAGCGTGACCGGACTTTTATTTAATTTGTTTCGTGCGGTGATGAATGACTTTCAGTGAATTCTGCTTCGGTTCTGGTTAGGTCGGCACGCATACAGGGATGGCTCACCGGACACTCCTAGATTTTAGATAATGAAAAATGAACACTTTTCAACATACAACTGATTTTTCATTGCATCAGGATAAAATCGGGTCGTAGATCTTCAACCTTCTGTGATATTTACTATATATCGTCTACTATTTTCCTAAGTCCTTCTGGTGCTGATCCGGAACGATTAAGAGAAGTTTGAGTGAGTGTCTGGCCGTTAACCACCTGTATACTGCAGTGTTTTTATGAACCTTTTCCTGTTTCAAAGAGCAAAATCTGTATTATTCGCAACTAAATAATCTCGCTATAATGGAATATTCGAATAAGAAATTTCTTGATAGACTTCCTCTTCCAATCTGCTTATAAAACAGCTAGCGGAGTACAAAAGGGAGCAGATTAGCTTACGGGCATAGGGAGAACGAGCGCGAGCATCGTCCCCCCATAACAGCTCGCTTCTTATCTAAATAAGATCAGCGACTGAATGAAAAGAATCCATATTTTCGATTTAATTTCTACTAATTTACATCGCTAAATTGAAAATGGGCGAGAAAAATCTCAAACTTTCCGTTAAGCAGAAAAGCTCCGGAGATTTCCTGCCGTCGAAACGAGTTTTCCTTTTAATCGCATTTATTGTCTGGGATGGTCATTAATTGCAATCTCTTATCAATTTTTATTAACGGAATTGTCGATTCGATGGATTACAGAAATATTGGAAATTAATGGGCATTAGTGTTTCAGTATTGGCATTTTCATTTAATGAACAATGCATAAACCCCTTTAATGTCTGGGAAATTAATTGATGGCTTTTCGAAATAAACGCAATTCTTTCATTTGAAATCAGTTCAGGCTAGGGATGGTCGGTATTTAACGTAACAGCTAAAATAACAGTGTTCCAAACGTGTAACCTGAACCCGTGGTTACAGCTAGTCGATTTAACCGGTTTTTTTTGGAACCGTCTCATAAAACAGAAACAGTTGTGCACACTTCGCACCAGCTTCAGCCGTTGGCCGATTTAAAGGTTGTTTTTGGAACGGTTTCATAAACCTGAAAAAGTGGTCAGCGTCAGCACAGAACCGATCTATCTATCCATTTGCAGCAGTTTCAGTAACCATTTGTCAACGGAAAATATGTATGTAGTTGCGCGTTGCATTGATGAGTGTGTATCACTTTTCTTTGATAAGAATTACTGTTCAGTTCTTCAGGAACCAGCGAAAATTTGTTTAGTTGCTGCAATGATGTAATTCAGCATTTTTAGTCTATAAGAATTTAAGATATTATCTAATAAATCTTAAAAAATGGGATTTCTCTCATGAAACTTAGCTCGGGAGTTATATGCCCATTACCAGCAAACTAAGCAGAATATGCACTTGCATATAAGCTATGAGCAAACTAAAGTCCAAGACATAAATCCCATCACAGTTGAAATGTAAAAAAACAAACGTTTTAAGCAGAATGTGCACCTGCATTTAAGCAAGCTGGCCATTTTTAAATATAAATTCAGTCAGAAATGAAATGAAAATTATTTGAATAGTAATAAACGTTGTAAGGTCGACATCATTTTTTTTTATATTTTTTTTTGTGGTACCAAAATTAGCTCGAGTAATACTTCGTCCAGGTTTGCCAAACACGCATTTCTGTTTGTTGTTTTTGTGGATTATTTAATGTTATTGTGAAACGAAATGCGTGAGATTATTTTCTAAAGCGGGTGCTATCATAAACGCGCGAAGAACTAGAATCAGTAAAAAGCATTTGCAAAAAATTTTATTCTTAAATGTTAATTCATTTTTAATGAAAATGAGAATTATAAACATTTTCGCATATAAACCGTATATTTGATTTAATCCCTCTAGTTTATTATCAGTTTTTTTGTTCTTTAAGTAGTTACTTCTGACCAATGTTTTGTTTATAATTTAAGAATATTGTATTTTAAGTTTCCTAATGTTAAGAATTATGTTTTTAATAAAGGAAATCATTATATATCATCACTATTTCTACTATCATCATTCTGAATTTTTAATGAAAAATTTAAAAAGTAACATGTTCCTTTTGGAACCGCATTTTGAGACCTGATCCGAATTACCAAGGTAAACTGGAACGTTGTAACCCGTTACAAAAAAATAACCGTTCATCACACCTCTAGCTCAGACAACTGACACCGTTTCCTTCTAGATTTGTAAACCACTTAGGCAATTTTAGTCTGTAAATCTTAAGGTATCGTGAGGGAGCTCGGGGTTTGGAAGCTTGTGGTTTTTAAGCATGTGAAGCATTGTGGTTATTTTATAAGCCTAAAATCGCAGACCAAACTCCCATCTTGAGATATAATTTGCGTTATTTTAATTTCAAAGTGACTAGTAGTTTGCGATATTCCGTTAGCCAGTAACATGGTTTTTATCAGCTGTTGTGAATAATGAATGAGAGATGGAATGAGAAATGCTCAAGAAACGATTAGTCCGACGCAAATTAGATATTGCATATTAGTTCAGTGCGTAAAACTATGAAATTTCGGGATTTTTGAGTCTTCCATTGGCCAGTAACAAGGTTTTATCAAAATTTTTTTATTGGCTATGAGAAATGAATATGGAGCGATTATTCTGACGCAAATAATAGAGTAAATGTTAGGTTTGAGCGTAAAACTAGGGAAATCGGGGGTTTTTCGGAATTTTCCGGCATTGTATCGGTGGATTACATGTTGTTTCATG